AGTCCTGGGCCGCCCTCAGAAAATTTCATCACTCCAGTTGCTCTGATTGCCGAGTTACATCAGATTTCACATGACCTTAGATGAGACGTACATGAGACATGAATGGAACGTAAACGTTGTTTTAATGCCCACTTGGCTAAATGCCACCGTCGACCACGCTCAAAAAGTTTCAGCCTTGTAGCTGCTTCAGTTCTGGAGTTAAAAAATCACCTACGTTAAATTTTATGTATCTGTACATGAGATGAAGAGGGGCTGGAAAGCTCAATTTACTTTCAGAGGCACATCAGTAGGCGACAAGCAAAGCTGCAAAATTACAGCTCTCTACAACTTCTTGATCAGCTCCATTCCCGAATTGGCACGATTCCAATTTAAACTTTGACGTGTACGTATGTGTGACGTACAGGTATATGAATGCTGAATTTGAGAACTTTAAGTTGGACCTAGGTAAAGGAACATCTTTGTGAAGTTTCAGCCCTCAAGCTTGTGTGATTCCCGAAATCGCTCTCTCGCCAAAAAATGTTTCAAACACCAGCGTAAGAACCACGTGGACTTGATCGATCATTTTGCGGACAAGAGCCCGTACCTAGGTATATATTAAGTTGCCAAAGCTTCAGCCTTGTAGATTTTGAGTGTTTCGAAATGAAAACTCGACACAGACGCATGCACAGACATAAACATACACACACATACACATACAACCTCTCGACAGTATCTGTTTTTGAACTGCAAAGATGAAAACCCAGGCTGGAACGCACCAGGCGGGCCGGTGCGATTATGCGTTTTTGCACTTCTCGTGCCGTAGCAAGATCGCCGGAATCACAGTAGCTAAACCTGTGACATACTGGCCCTCAAAGTTCGGGAAGTTAACTGTGCAACTATGAGGTATGTCAGTTATAGATGTCGGCTTCAGTGACCTGGCAAATGGAAAGGTGCTGGTCTGCAAAAAAGGCCACACTAGAAATGTTAAATTTGAAATCTTTTAGTCGCACATAAGTAGGGAACATTCCCTTAAAATTAAAGCCTTCAGCTTGTCTCGTTCCCGAATTGGCAGTTTTCCCACCAAAATTTTCACATGTCCGTATGTGATTACCGGATGGTTTTAAGCAGCTGAATTTAAAATCTTTTGGTCATACATGTGTAGGGAACAGTATCCTAAAGTTTCAGCCTTCTAGCTTTTTTCGTTCCCGAGTTAGTGATTTTCGCGCCAAAATTTCCATGTGCCTGTACGTGGGCCCCGGGTGCTTCCAAACACCTGATTTTGCTAGTACATGAGTGGGGAACATTCCCTTAAAGTTTCAGCTTTAAAGCTCTTCCCGTTCCCGGGTTAGAAATTTTCGCGCCAAAATTTCCACGTGCTCGTACGTGGGCCTTGGGCGCTTCTAAATAACTGATTTTGCTCGCACATGAGTGGGGAACATCCCCTTAAAGTTTCGGCCTTCTAGCTTCTCCCGTTCCCGGGTTAGTGATTCCCGCGCCAAAATTTCTACGCGCTCGTATGTGGGCCCGGGAGCTTCTGAACACCTGATTTTGGTCGTACATGAGTAGGGGAAATTCCCTGAAAGTTTCAGCCTTCTAGCTTTTCCCGTCCCCGGGCTAGTGATTCTCGCGCCAAAAATTTTCACGTGCCCGTACGTGAGCCCCGGGCTCTCCTAAGGAGCTGAGTTTGAAAACTTTTGGCCGCACATGAGTGTGGAACATTCCTCCAAAGTTTCAACCTTCTAGCTTTTCTCATTCCCGAGTTATGAATTTTCCCGCCATAACTTTCACGTGCCCGTACGTAAGCCCCGGGCAGTCCTGGGCA